CTTGGAATAGTCATACTTGTATAGCCCATCTATTGATTCTTGATATCTAAAGTAGACTTTAATTAACGAATAGTTTATGATATCTCATATCAACTTATTCGAGCATGGCCATGTGTTTCTAGTCTTACTCAATCAAGTGGCATGTGATATATTTCTTATTTTGTAGGAAGGACAAATCTTATCTTAATCATACACATCCACTACATATATTGAGATATATTCAATAACAGTCTTTATAGAGCAACCAGTTACGGAGCTTGTTTAGCTGCATCAAAACATACAACAATATATGTTGGGATAGTATTGATCTCAAGTCTGAGGATCATACATATGGTCATCACCATGAATAATGTTATGACTGTCACATAATAATCCAAGACATATGCTCATGGTCGGTCAATCCAATACATTATTCTCTAACAATATAATCATGTATCAATTCTGACATCTCTATGTCAATGACAACTCGTTGTCATCAATCAATAACATGTTAGTCTTAAGCGTATTATTATTGTCCATGCCCATAATAATACTTGACTAGGTATCTTTTAATAATAACAATTATGTCATTATATGGACTTTATTATCTTCCAGTTTATGTTAAACACATATATATAAATGAAAATAATAGCGGCAATGCCTTTATTTAATAAAATCGGTAAATAAAAGTATTATTACAATCATCATATGATTGGTCTTTGGGCATACTCTAACAAATAGGATAAGTCTCGCTGAAGGGTGAAGAGGAAGCTCTCTACACCTGCAAAAGCAAAGGCACTTTTTAGCGGTATACTGGCAGTGGATCTAAAAACGATGGTGACAAGGTAAAAAATTACCAAGGAAATGAAGGCTCTCATTTAGGGGGAGCTTCCAAGAATCGCGATAATAGTAGAAAGTTCGATAGCAAGTGTAACAACTGTGGGAAGATGGGTCACATGGCAAAAGACTGTTGGACCAAGAAAAAACATGTTGAAAGTAATACTGCAACTTCCAGCTCGAAGAAGAATAATGAAGATGGTTGGGATGCTGAAGCGTTATTCGCTATGGAGGAAGAAGAATTAGCTCTCACAGTAACAACACCAGAACGGATTGACTACGAGAATGATTGAATCATAGATTCGGGCTGCTCAAATCATATGACGGGTGACAAACAGAAGTTGCAAAACATGTATGAGCACAAGGGAGGTCGTGTGGTGGTAACGGCTGACAACTCAAGATTACTGATATCTCATATTGGTAAGACGATAGTTACACCTCGATATAATTCTAACCAGATGAAACTTCAAGATGTTTAATATATCCTAGGAATAAAGAAAAAGTTTCTATCTGTGGCTTAATTGACATCATCAGGCCATTATGTCTTATTTGGTCCCCAAGACGTGAAGGTTTATCATGACCTCAAAATCTCAGAAACACCGACAATAGAGGGGTGACGTTTAGAGTCAATCTATATGATGTCAGCAGAGTCTGCATATGTAGACAGGTCAAGAAAAAATGAGACATCATATCTATGGCACAAGCGGTTACGTCATGTTAGCTATTCCAAGCTAAGTGTGATGGTGAAGAAGTCGATGCTTAAGGGGCTTCCTCAACTAGACGTGAGAACATACATGATCTCTGCGGGATTCCAGTATGGTAAAGCACACCAATTACCATATGACGAGTCAAAGTTTAAAGCAAAAGAACCGTTAGAGTTAGTTCACTCTAATGTGTTCGAACCGGTTAAGCAATTAGCAGTATGTGGTATATGGTAACATTCATTGATGACTTCTCCAGGTATATGTGGGTTTTCTTTATGAAAGAAAAATCTGACACATTCTCAAAGTTTAAAGAGTTCAAAGAGTTAACTGAATGAGAAGTGGGAAAGAAGATATATTGCTTGCGCACAGACAACGGAGAAGAATATAGCTCAAACGAGTTCTCTCAATACATAAGTGTGATGGTGAAGAAGTCGATGCTTAAGGGGCTTCCTCAACTAGACGTGAGAACATACATGATCTCTGCGGGATTCCAGTATGGTAAAGCACACCAATTACCATATGACGAGTCAAAGTTTAAAGTAAAAGAACCGTTAGAGTTAGTTCACTCTAATGTGTTCGAACCGGTTAAGCAATTAGCAGTATGCGGTACATGGTAACATTCATTGATGACTTCTCCAGGTATATGTGGGTTTTCTTTATGAAAGAAAAATCTGACACATTCTCAAAGTTTAAAGAGTTCAAAGAGTTAACTGAATGAGAAGTGGAAAAGAAGATATATTGCTTGCGCACAGACAACAGAGAAGAATATAGCTCAAACGAGTTCTCTCAATACATAAGGGAATATCAAATACGTATCAGTACACTTGTGCCAATACGCCACAACAGAATGGTGTAGCGGAAAGAAAAAATTGACATCTTGCAGAAATTTAGCAAAGTATGCTACATGCAAAGAACGTACTGGGAAGGTTTTGGGCTGAAGCAATGAGGACTGCAGCCTTTGTGATCAACAGACATCCTCAACCAAGTTTAGGATTTGTTTCACCCTTTGAGAAACTATGGAACATTAAACCTACAGTTAGCTACTTTCAAATATTTGGTTGTGTATGTTATGTGTTTGTTCCTGATTATTTACGGAGCAAGTTTGACAAGAAAGTTGTTAGATATATCCAGAGAAAGGGGTGGAAATGTTATGATCCAATGAGTGGAAGATGCTACACATCACAAAATGTGGTATTTGATGAAGCATCTTCTTGGTGGTCCTCAGAGAAGGAGGTATTGCTGGACTTAAGAGAATTTGGAGACAAGCTGCAACAAAATATGGAGGAGCATACTGTTCAACTCCAAACAAGTTTAGATGAATCAGAAAATCCAAATGGCGATGATGTCGAACAAAGAGTGACTCTGAATCCTTGGAAAACTGGCGTGTATCAATAACCAAATGAAGAATGTGGTCCTAGTGAAACAGAAAAATCAATTCCACAATATCAACTCTGAAGGTCAACAAGAAAACGAAGGTCAAATCCCAAATATGTCAATGCAGCCAAAATTGAAGAAGCAATAGAGTCTGAGACGTTCGAAGAAGCATCACAGAGTTCTGCGTGGATGACAGCTATGAAAGAAGAGATCGATGCACTTCAGCAAAATCAAACTTGGGATCTTGTGCCAAAGATAAAATATTTGAAGCCCATATCTTGCAAATGGGTTTACAAGATAAAGCATCGTTTAGTGGATCAATCGAGGGGTACAAAGAATGTTTGATAGCTCATTGTTTATCTCAACAGTATGGACTAGCCTATGATGAAACATTTAGTCGAGTGGGGAAACTTACAACCGTATGAGTCCTACTTGCACTTGAAGCTAACAAAGAGTGGAATTTATGGCAGATGGATATGAAGAATGATTTTCTTCATGGAGAGCTAAATCGAGAGATCTACATGACTCAACCAATGGGTTTTTAGAGTCAAGATCATCCTGAATATGTGTGTAAGCTGTGAAAAGCATTATACTGATTGAAACAAGCACCTGGGCATGGTATGGTAAGATTGTTGAATTTCTAACGAAAAGTGGCTATTCAGTAACACCTGCAGATTCTAGTTTGTTTGTCAAAGTCAATGAAGGTAAGCTAGCTATCGTGTTAGTGTACGTGGATAACTTAATAATAACCGGTGATGATGAGGCAAAAATTCTTCAGACGAAGGAGAATTTATCAGTCTGTTTCCAGATGAAGGAACTTGGATAACTTAAGCACTTCCTTGGTCTAGAGGTTAATTGCACACACGAAGGAATATTTATGTATCAGCAGAAATATGCTAAATATTTGTTGAAGAGGTTTGGAATACTCGAATGCAAGTCAACTTTGATGCCAATGGAACCAAATGCCAAAATGTGTGCACAAGAAAGAAAAAGGTTGGAAGATGCAACAATGTATCGACAATTGGTAGGTAGTTTGATCTACTTAACCTTGACCCGACCTAACATTTCTTATGCAGTTGGTGTGATGATTCGGTATATGCAAAATCCAAAGAAACCTCATTTGGAAGCAGTTCGACGAATACTAAGATATGTGAATAGTACAATTGACTATGGTCTTTTATACAAGAAAGGTGAAGACTGCAAGTTAGTTGGTTATTGTGATGTTGATTATGCAGGAGATCATGACACCAGAAGATCAACAACTGGGTATGTGTTTAAGCTTGGCTCCGGAACAATTTCTTGGTGTAGCAAGAGACAAACGACTGTTTCCTTGTCAACTATAGAAGCAGAGTACCGAGAAGCAGCAATGGCGGCTCAAGAAAGCACGTGGCTGATACAACTAATGAATGATCTACATCAACCAGTAGATTATGCAGTTCTGTTGTACTGTGACAACCAATCGGTAATTCGGCTGGCGGAGAATCCTGTTTTTCATGCAAGAACTAAACATGTGGAAGTACATTACCACTTTGTTAGGGAAAATTTTTTGCAAGAAGAGATTGATATGAGACAAATCAAGACAGATGAGCAAATTGCTGACTTGTTTACAAAAAGCTTGAGTGTTGGAAAGTTTGAACATTTCTGTCGTTAGCTTGGCGTGATTCAAAGAATAGGGCTAACATTGAGGGGGAGTGTTGAGAAGTCAATATTATCCTAAATAAGTTCACACCAAAATTAATTTGATGTCATTGATTACATCAATTTAGTTTTTATGTCATTGCTTACATCAATTTAGTTAGGTAAAAATTAGGTATTTTTCTCATTTTTAATTTCAATGGTTTAAATTATTTTGTACTTATTTTAATGAGTGGTTTAGATTTGTTCTTGTAACCTATAATTACCCTATTTGTATTTGAGTTTTATCATCCAACAATAAAAACTTAATTATAAGCATTTAAAAGCTTTCTTAAGAGTTCTTTCTCTTTTGCAATTTGTGAGATTATTCTAAAGAGAGTTTTTCTTCTTCTCGATCAATAAGAGTTTTTACTCTATTTTGATTCAACACTTTTAGCTTTATAAAGATCGAAATTGAAGGTCTTTGTTTGCTTCAGAGAAATAATCAAGTCACTATTGGAAAAAGAAAGACCAAAACAAATTTTGTAGAAGCTCAGACATTTTGGCACCTTTACAGAAGTTTTGATAGAATGTGGATATTTTTTATAATGGCTTTTCAGGTGACTATTGTCTAAACATGCAATTTTTGTTTCTGATCATTTGTCTGAAAGAATTTACTCCACCTAATCTGGTGGTTTTCAGGCTATGCTAATTATTGCATGGAACTTCAGATCTCTTCTTGGCTTTTTTTATGAAGATATACTCAGACAGGTGTTGACTATTTTTATTACTGCTGATTTTCTCAATTTCTGCAAGGTAATAGGTTGTTCTTGGCTAGTTGAATTTCTTTATTTATTGAATATTTGGTTACATATAAGCAATGCAGTTTTTTTCATCATCCACAAAGCAATGTATAGCCAAGTGGTTGCTTTGCTTCAGAAATTTGTTAATTAATAATTCATTGATACTATAGTTCAAAGTTGCATATGTTTCCTATTTTAGTTGAAGACAAAAGAGTTTGAGATTAAATATCACTTTTCATGCAGCTACTCTGGACATAATTCTTAGTTTCAGTGCCTGGAGAAGCTTGAAATTTTCCCAAATAATCTGGTACCTTTTGAAATTTGTCGTTCCAGCTTTTTGGGTAGTGGTTTTGCCAATTGGTTTTCCAATTTTGCACAAAATCCTACATGTATCGTAATGTTCTTTAGAAATTGGATTCATGATTGGCAGAATGAGTCATTGTACAATTATTGTCTTGCAATATATTTGATACCCAATATATTGGCTGCTATTGTATTTCTACTTCCACCTTTACGGGAAACCATGGAGAGGTCAAACTGGCGAATAATCACTCTTATTATGTGGTGGGCTCAGGCAAGCTTAACTGATTGGGAAGCGGTGGCAGATTAATAAATGTTTCTCTTGTTTAAGAATCAAACATAGAAATCTCTAGACTCGATGAAGAACAATGGGGAATGAATAGGGGAAGGTGGTAGCATCAGCTAGGATTCTTTAGGGTTTCTTTTAGGTGCTAGAAACAAGTTAAGGAACAATATTAGAACAATATAAACAAAATATAAATAACTTAAAAATAAAGTATGATAATCAAGAAATCAAAATGTCTCTCCTGTGAAGGTGGATGGCAAAGGTGATGAAGGTGATGATGGTGATGATGGATTTGTGGAAAATAGATGGGTAATGTCTTATCGAGCCCTGCTAGTCGCAATGAAAAGGAAAACATGATAATATGGCTCTAACCAACCCTACTAGTCGCGATGAAAAGGCAAATTGGAGTGTGAAGATTAATCTGCCTCACAAGAACTTGAAAGAACTCTATAAGAAAAAACATCGAAGGAACAAGGAAATCAGCACTTTCCAAAATGAACTATTGTTGTATTATTAATTAAAGAAATCTGTTTTACAAAGTTAAATAAAGCCTCCCTTGTATAGGGGCTGGGTTTTAAAGGTCCTAAATAACTAATGAATAAAATAATAACAAACTAAACATGATTTAACTCTAATTCATAATAAAATAATAATAACTAAATATAATGTTTTAACTCAACCTTAATTCCTAATAAAATAATAAATCTAATCCTAAAAGATAATGCATCATTCTATATTAAATTATAATACAAATAATCAATAAAAATATTGAAAATTCGTAATATTTACAAAATCTCGTATAAGATTTTCTACATGCATTGTCTTAACTAAAATGACCATATCTTGAGTTACAGATATCGGGTTGATGCAATTAAAGAACCGTTGGAAAGATAAGAGACATATGGTTGTATCTACATAAGAAATGTTGACCAAATAAGATTAGGATCCCATTCAAAAAGTCGTTGTAAGTCTGCTACTGTTATGGTCTTTTTTTCCAAGGCTTGGACGAGTGGATCATTTGGTAGCGTTATTACTTCTTCCTTTGATGTGAGCCTTGTGATGCATGTATCAACGTCCATTTCTTCAAAAAGATTTGACCTCAAATCTAAAACATTAAAGGGAGAAACATTAGAATCGTTTAATGATTCGGTCACTTTATGCTTACCGAATAGATATGCTTTGAATCTTCGAGACTTTATTATTCTAATAGGTTCCAGTAGAAACATTAGTCCAAAGAAGCATGTATTATCACTGTGGACTCTAGTGCATGTATCATTCCCCCACTCCTTAAAAGGATTCGTCCTCGAATCTCAAAATCCAAGAGAAAGAGAAATAGATATGTTGAAAGGAAAACTTGTGAAACATTTGCCATGAACAATTGATGTGTCTTTATGTGTTTTAGTCGAGGTTTCTTCTTTGTAGGAACTAATTTCTTGTAGTCTTAAAATCCTCTTTTTCATAAAAGTCTTGTAATTTGATGTTTAGGTTGAAATTCAACATGGCACCGACTACTGTTGGCTTTCTTTATGATTGCTTCAGATATTCTCTGCATGGTTTGACTCGTTTTTGGCGAGAATGAGTGTTGAAAAACCATGTCAACTAATTTGTTAAAATAATCCCTTAAATCTCCTAAGTGTGGTTCATGAATTAAGAAATATCGAGAGGTGATTTTTGGACTGCAAAACCTTCGTGGTAGTGCATCGTCTACTGTGTTTTGCTTACTTTTATCTTTTACGCACTTAAAGGAGTTGTGTTTATCATGGGTGACAACTTCTAGAGTCTTACCTTGTAAAAAGGAAAAAAGGTACGTTACAATATCATTAAAATGAATAATAAAATACTTACCTTTAGACTCTCGTAAATCGTGACTCTTCATTGATATGGCATAGTGATTAGGACTTTCAGGTGGTAACCCGTCTGGAGGGTCACCTAGCACCATTCGACAACTCTTGGTGATGGAAGATGGCATGGGCCAATCCCTTGTTTCTTTCACTTTTTCATCATTTACATGGATTCCCTGTGCACGAACTATAAAGCCTGTGGAGTTGTTCAAATCATGGATTCCCAATGAGCATTATTCTTTTGGTTTTTGTAACTAGTAACCTCTTTTGCTTTTGCCTCTTTCTCAGCTTTTAATTTTTCTTTTTTTACTTTCCCTACCTCCTCATAAATTCTCATTTGATCTTTAGGGGCTGGAAGTGTGTCATTCTTTGTTGGTTGTTGATTTTCCTTGTCCAGTTTGTCATATATTGGATTTTTTAAAGAAAATGGAGTAGAATATGAGGAAGCATTTGAAGGATTACCTTGGTAAGAGGACGAAGTACCTTGGTAATGTTATCTGAATCAGAATCTCCTTTGGATTTATTCTTCGATTGTTATTGTTTTATTTAGTGTATCTTTAAGGTTTTCGTACCCATAGAGGTCAAAAAGATCAGTGATGCTTAAGTTCAAGCTGACGATGAATCTTGACACAGTGTCCTCTTCTTCTTCGGTTATGTTAGCCCTATTGAGTAAGGGTTGCATCTCCTTGTAGTAGTCTTCAACTGAACTTCTACCTTATCGAAGTCGGTGTAGTCGTAGTTTAACTTCTCGTGTATAATGTGTCAGTAAGAATCAGTTCCTCATGGTTTGTTTGAGTTTGGTCCAAGAAGTGATTGATTGAATTTGGAAGTTATCGATCTTTTTCCTTGTTTGCATCCACCAAGTGTGAGCATATCCTCGAATTTCATGGTGATTGGGGGAACTTGTTCAGCTTGGGGCAGTCATGGAATACGAACATGAGATCAACTTTTCCTTCCTAATCGATGTACTTGTCTAGATCGTTATCTCCTTTGAAAGACGAGATCGTGAACTTTGGTTTTACAAAGAGTTTGGGTGCTTGGAAACGTGGTTGAGCTCGTCTGGGTCCCAAAAGTTCAGCATTCTTTAGTCTTGGATTATGGGTTGGTAGATCCAGTTCCGGTTCTTGTCGTTCTCTCACAGTATTGTTAAGTTCATCAAATCTTTCAAATTGAGTCGTGAGTTGTGCAAGTGTGGCTAGGATAGCCGTAAGTTTCTTATTGTTATTGTCGCCCATCCTGAAATCATAACACTCAAAATAAAATTTTAAAGTAAAATAAAAATAAAAGAAAGAAAATTCAACAAATCAAGAAACCTCACAAGTCACTCCAAGAAAGTAACACAACGAGAGGCAAGTAAGTCGATCTTGTACTCTTTCAAATTCAATTTACCAAGTAGTCTTCCATAGTTCGTCTCGGAGTTTGATTACTAGGAAAGGCGATAAGAAAACCTAAAAGCTCAAAGAGGCCAAACAAGGTTTAGACTCCAAGAGAACGAGAATGCAAAGAAGGAAGAAGTATGGAAACTCTTTAGTCCTACTAACACAAGAAAAATAATGTGATAGATAATGCAAAAGAATAATAAAAAGGAAAACAAAATAACCTAAAGCACTAAGAGTCAAAGAAAAAAAAGAACTAAACCAAAAACCTATAAAACGCTGGGTCAACTTGATAAACGTTTTTTATGGGGTTACTGGTGTCCACAAATATTGTGAAATTTCTTGAATGTCTTTCGATGTGTGTGAAGGCCACCTGTAAAATTTCATAACCAAATACCTTCAGTAGTATCTAGTAGACTCTATTTAACAGTGAGTCCTCAAATAGTATGTTTTTCGTGATCGCTTTATTAGAAGGTGTTTTTCATCTCCAAAAATTTTGATATTTTGTGTGAATGATCTTTAATATATTTAGTTTTAATCTAAAAATTTTCACCACAAAATTACTTTTTTTATAATTTTTAAGAATTTCGACAATATTCTAGACTCGATGAAGAACAATTGGGAATGAATAGGGGAATGAATTGGGAACAATTGGGAATTAATCTGAAAATTTTCACCACAAAATTACTCTTTTTATATTATCGTGCTGGAAACAAGTTAACGAACAATATTAGAACAATATAAAAAAAATAAAGAACTTAAAAATAAAGTATGATAATCAATAAAGCAAAAGATCTCCATTGTGAAGGTGGATGACAAAGGTGATGATGATGATGATGGATTTGTGGAAAATAGATGGGTAATGTCCTATCGAGCCCTGCTAGTCACAATGAAAAGGAAAAACACGATAATATGGCTCTAACCAACCCTTCTAGTCGAGATGAAAACACAAATTGGAGTATGAAGATTAATATCCCTCACAAGAACTTGAAAGAACTCCAGGAGAAGAAGCTTCGAAAGCACAAGGCAATCAACACTTGCAAAAATGAACTCTTGTTGTATTATTAATTAAATAAATCTATTTTAAAAAGTTGAATGAAGCCTTCTTTATATAGGGGCTGATTTCTAGAGGTCCCAAATAACTAATGAATAAAACAATAACAAACTAAACATGTCTTAACTCTAATTCCTAATAAAATAATAATAATAACTAAAAATAATGTTTTAACTCAAATTTAATTCCTAATAAAATAATAAATCTAATCCTAAAATATAATGCATTATCCTATATTAAATTATATTACAAATAATCAATAAAAATATTAAAAATTCGTAATATTTACAAAATCTCGTATTAATCCCGTATAGGATTTTCTGCATGCACTGTCTTCACTAAAATGACCATATCTTGAGTTCTCAATATCAGATTGATGAAATTAAAGAACCTTTGGAAAGATAAGAGACATATGGTTGTATCTTCAGAAGAAATGTTGACCAAATAAAATTAGGATCCCATTCGAAAAGTTGTCGCAAGTCTGTTTCTGTTCTGGTCCTCTTTTC